CCCTACACGGCTACAGGACTTTGATCTCTAGGTCCTGTGCAGCCTGGCATAAGTTAGCAAGTTCCAGAGATGGCACAAAAATTTAAATTAAAATAGAATAAAATAAAATTCTCAGTCCCACTTATTACTAGGACAAAGTTGCATTACTGTTATCACTGAGAAGAGAAGCAACCGTAATACAAAATCTCAAGGCAAAAGTCTAAGGAATTACCTTGAAGCCAAACACATACAGAAGTTGTTTCTGGAGAAAACTACCCTACGTTTAGAAGGTAGTACAGTGATGCAAGATTTGCAACACGCAACTATAACTCCTGTCTTGCACCACCTGTAATCTTCCATAAGGTGGAATCTCTTCATGCACGTATGTCAGTAGTTTCTTCCATTATTCAACATACTTAGCTAGGCATTTCTTGTGAAACAACTAATTCCACGACCATGTTTTCTTACGGGGGGAAAAAAAAAAAGCCTATCAACATCATAGCTTCAATCAATATATTAGAATTTTATCTTTTCAAAAATTATTGAAGTTTATTGGAACACCATTTTCCTCTTTCTTCTCTTACTCCCGTTTCCTGAAAAATTATGTAGCCCTTATTATAAAATATGCATTTTATAAAATTCTTCTATAATTTTTGATATTTGAAATTGCATACGTATCTAAGAAAACACAATGAAGCAGCACATAAATATTTTTAAAAATAAAGTTGTCCTTCCAACAAAGTGCAGAGGCAGCTATAGTCCATGCAAACAAAAGAGATTTCGTGCACTAGTGCAACGTTTTTCTAGAACTGCACAAAAAAGCGTGCTATTCTAGAGTAGCACATGGAAGTTCCCGGGAAGGGTAAGTCCCTACCTACACTCACACCACCTATTTCAGTGTTCACACTCACAACCAAACGGTGCTCAAAGGTGCGATTTACCTGACAACAACACGCTATTTAAGACCGTGCAAAGCGACCTTCCTTCCAGTTAAACACGCACTTACAGCCTTACCTACAGGTATATGTTCCGTCTTCAGCGTTTTGCAGTTTCCCATGTGCTCCACCGGCACCACCAGGTAGTGGTGGGGGGCACCGGGTCTGATATCTCTGAAGCAAACGAGGTCTTCGTACTAAAAAAGGATGCAAACATATTAAACTGATTAGGACGAGGACACTGGCACAGAGTAGTCGACAAAGTCCATCCTCCCCATACCAGTGTGACGCTTAACGTCATACTTGAGGTCACTAGCAAAGATCTTAAGATTTTTGGAGCCAGCCCACAGAAGGACTTGCAAGCACGACCTGCGTCCTCGGCTGACCTTCCGCGGCCCGGACCCCTCGGCGCCTGCTCTTCTGTGGGGAAACGCTCTAGGTTTCCAGCCGCTGCGCCAGCATTTAAGGATAGCACGGTGGTTCCCTTCTGGCCGACGCCGCGCTCCCGTCTCCGCCGAAGAGCACGCCGCCCTTAAGACTA